ACACAAAAGGATCAGTTGATTCCTTGTTATCATTCAAAGACAAGAGATGCTGGATTGCAACTTGGGAGTTCTTCAGGTGAAATCTGAAACTGGCCCTCACACACGAAGGCCAAGGAGAGACCAAAGAAAGGGGCAGACTGCTCCAGATTTCTAAATGGCAGTTTTTTGTTTTTATCCTCACCTGAGGACTTTTTTTTTCCATTTTTTGTTCAGATAGAGTGGGAGGGAGAAAGAGGAAGGGAGAGAGAGAGAGAGAGAGAGAGAGAGAGAGAGAGAGAAACATCGACGTGAAAGGGACATATCAAGTGGCTGCTACCCGCATGACCAACCAGGGCCGGGGACAAACTGCAACCGAGGTATGCGCCCTTAGTGGGAACTGAACCCGGGTCTCTCAGGACCACAGGCCGACGCTCTAACTGCTGAGCCAAACCGGCCAGGGCTAAAAGGCAGTTTTAATAAGCAAAGGACCACTAAAAGCATTTCCCTTAAGAACAGGAACAAGGCAAGGATGCCCACTTTTGCCACTCCTATTTAACATAGTACTGGAAGTCTTAGCCACAGCAATCAGACAGGAGGAAAAAATAAAAGGGATCCAAACTGGAAAGGAAAAAGTGAAACTGTCATTATTCTTAGATGACATGATACTATACGTAGAAAACCCCAAAAACTCCATAAAAAATTTACTAGACTTAATAAATGAATTTGGCAAAGTAGCAGGATAAAAAATTAACGTCAAGAAATCAATGGCATTCTTATACACCAATAATGAACTCACAGAAAGAGAAACTAAGAAAACAATCCCATTTACCATTGCAGCCAAAAAATTAAGATACCTAGGAATAAACTTAACCAAAGAAATAAAGGACTTATTCACAGAAAACTACAGATCATTGAAAAAAGAAATAGAGAAAGATATGAAAAAGTGGAAGCACAGACCTTGTTCATAGATTGGAAGAATCAACATCATTAAAATGTCCATACTACCCAAAGCAATCTATAGATTCAATGCAATCCCCATCAAAATACCAATGGCATACTTCACAGAATTAAAACGAATACTTCAAAAGTTCATATGGAACCAAAAAAGACCTGGAATAGCCACAGCAATCTTAAAAAAGAACACAGTTGGAGGGATCACATTACCAGATTTCAGGTTATACTACAAAGCCACTGTAATCAAAACAGCCTGGTACTGGCACAAGAACAGGCATATAGACCAGTGGAACAGAACAGAGAACCCAGAAATGGACCCAAGGCAATATGCTCAATTAATATTTGACAAAGGTGGCAAGAGCATACAGTGGAGTAAGGACAGCCTCTTTAATAAATGGTGCTGGGAAAATTGGACAGCCACTTGCAGAAAAATGAAACTAGACCATCAACTTACACCCTACACGAGAATAAACTCAAAATGGATAAAAGACTTAAATGTAACTCATGAATCCATAACAATCCTAGAAGAGACTGTAGGCAACAAAATTTCAGACATCATACGCAGTAGAATTTTTACTGACACATCACCTAAGGCAATAGAAACAAAGGAGAAAATGAACACATGGGACTACATCAAACTCAAAAGCTTCTGCACAAAGATACAATCATCAAAACGGAAAGGCTACCCACTGTATGGGAGAATATAATTGCCAATGATATATCAGATAAGGGGTTAATTTCCAATACATATAGAGTGCTCATACAACTCCACAAAAGGAAGACAAAGAATCCAATTAAAAAATGGGCAGAGGCCCTGGCCAGTTTGGCTCAGCGGTTAGAGCGTCGGCCTGTGGTCTGGAGAGACCCAGGTTCGGTTCTCGCTAAGGGCACGTACTTCGGTTGCAGTTTGTCCCCGGCCCTGGTTGGTCGTGCGGGTGGCAGCCACTCGATGTGTCCCTTCACGTCGATGTTTCTCTCTCTCTCTCCTTCCTCTCTCTCCCTCCCACTCTATCTGTACAAAAAATGGAAAAATATCCTCGGGTGAGGAAAAAAAAATGGGCAGAGGAACTGAATAGACACCTCTCGAAACAGGACATACAAATGGCTAAGAAACATATGAAGAAATGCTCATCATCACTAATCATCAGAGAGATGCAAATTAAAACAACAATGAGGTATCACCTCACACCTGTCAGAATGGCCGCCATCAACAAATCATCAAACAACAAGTGTTGGCGAGGGTGTGGAGAAAAGGGGACTCTAATACACTGCTGGTGGGAATGCAGACTGGTGCAGCCGCTATGGAAAACAATATGGTGCTACCTCAAAAAATTAAAAATTGAACTTCCATTTGACCCAGTGATCCCACTTCTAGAAATATACCCTAAGAAGCCTGAAACACCAACCAGAAAGAATACATGTACCCCCATGTTTGTAGCAGCACTATTTACAATAGCTAAGATCTGGAAACAGCCCAAGTGTCCATCAGTAGACGAATGGATAAAAAAGCTGTGGTACATAGACACAATGGAGTACTACGCAGCTGTAAGAAAGAAAGACCTCTTACCCTTTGAGACTACATGGAGGGACCTGGAAAGTATCATCCTAAGTGAAACAAGCCAAACAGAGAAAGAGAAGTATCATATGATCTCACTTATTTGTGGAATATAATGAACATAACAGTCTGAGGAAGGGGTAGTCCCAGAGACGTGGAAATGGGATACAGACTGACAATCCCCTAAATAGGGGGATGGTGGGGAAGAAATAAATCACAGAATTTATATGCATGTATGCATGAACAGTGGACATGGACAACAAACTGGGGAAAGGACAGGGAGGGAGGGGGACGGGGGAATCAGTGGGGGGAAAAGGAGAAACATCTGTAACAAAAATTAATTAATTAAAAAAAAAAAAAAAAAGCAAAGGATCTTCCATACTGGGGTTGTCTTGAGTGGCCACAATAGGAGAAGATCTCCACACTGCCCACCAGAATCTGAAAAGTTTACCTAGAAGCCTTTACGGGGACATGTACATGGTTCAGATGGGCTCAGCACACATTATTCTCTGTGTCCTTGAAATGGCTCTTAGTTCTCCAAAGTGGGCAGAACGTACATCACAAGGACAGGATTGGGAGTAAAGAGCCTCTGATTGCCAGGTACAGCTCATGAGTTGACCAGCAGTCACATCTTCTCAATGACTTCCTCCAACAGACCAGCAGCTTGAACCTTGTGTAACTCATTCCATTAGGGACGTATGTCAAGGTCGTGGGGGAAATATCTCACTCTACATTCAAGGAGCTCCATATGCTTTTTCAGTGGAGCTCTTTGGCTGAAAAGACCGCCTTGTAGGGTGAGTCTTGAGTACTCCTGGCTTCCCATGGTGCAGGTGGATGCAGCTACATTCTAAGTATATTCTGGTCCCTGTGTTTGCCATGGTGGAGTCACAGGAATCACCTCCCCTTACCAAACACAACCACAGTAATTAAAGCACCTTGGAGAGCAGCATGATGTGCCCTCAGCAAAGGTACAAACTGGCCCTTTAGTTATTACATGTGAGAAGCAGGACAATTCCTGGCCCTCAGTGCAGGAGGAACCTCTGCATTTTCTGCCCTGATGGGGCCACACTGGAACTGTGCATTTCCTACAGGTGCAAAGGAAAGTAGGGTGGGAAGGGCAGGAATGAAATGTAACCTTCCTGCAGCTTGTTTCTGCAGTTCAGCAGTGTGAGAGAAGAGACCAAACTTATGCATCGTCCCCAGTGAACACACATTCTTGATAGAGGGTCGTTTATTTGAGGTTGAGATGAGAAGTTAAGAGATAAAACAAAAAAACCAGAGATATTCCAGACTTTAGGAAATCAGAATGATTTCTAGAAAAACTGCTTCAAGGCTATTGTTTTCCAGATAGCTATTAAAAGGAAGATTATGGAAAGAAAGAAAAAAAAGATAATGAACTAGAAATATATTCTCCATCTCTCAATTCTTCATGCTGAATATCCAGACTTCTTCCTACAGTGAATGGACTGATGACGATGCTACTCCCCGAGGTGGTCCACCTTGTATAATAAGTGCTGGTTCAAGCATGTGCCCTCCTTTTCTCTTTCCACTGAGATCACTTGTGGTTCTTTGGCTGTGCCCCTCAGGCTCCCTGTGTCAGATGGCCTCCAGGGGTTCTTCTGTGTCCCAAGCATGATGGAGTTATTGCTGCAGTTTGGGTGGGGCTGTGTCTCAGATGATACTAAAGGTGAACATTTCCTCAGGGAATGGAGAGAGGCAGTGGTCAGAAACAGTATCTGTGCATACTATATGGAGAGGATGCCTGGCCGGGAGTGATTCCATCATTGTCAGAACAAATGTTATGCTAGTATCACACATACTCTCCAATGAGGGATTATTAATGAGATGAATCCTAGTTTTCTGACAAGGCTCATTATTGGTGGATTAAACAGTGTAGCCACAAGTAAGGGTGGCTCATGATCTCAGAGTGATTGAATCACCAGTGAGAAAACATTTTCTAAAGTTAACCACTATTAATAACCAGAAGTCACTTTCTTTTTAAATGATGGCTTGTTTTGATTTCAATGCTTTTTTCTAAATATGGCTTAAAATTAGGTAAGGATATCCACCTAAGGCATCCTTGGTACCTGAGCCTGTGCACCTTTTGGCAAATCCACAGGTCAGACTCCAGTTGTCAGCAAAGATAAAAATGGAGCCAGATTCATTACTGCATAAAGCGAGGTGCCTTAGTGTCTGTGTTTGCAAGGAAAGATAACAGTTCCCTGGTGGACATGCAGCACTAGGTTTCAATGCCAATGTCCCTGTACTGGAGGAGTTCTGGCTGCGCTGGGCTCAGGCCTGTGTAACTCAGGCACTAGGGGGCGATGTCTTGCGGAGTGTCTGCCGTAAAGGGAGCTGCGGGTCAGGTGGGTGGGCCTACGCACTAAAACCACCAGGAAGACCTGTTCGCCCCGGCTGGCCCTGCCCTGCCCTTAAAGCCCCGTGTTACTCCGCCCTCACCTGTCCAGCTGTGATCTGTACCAGTCCTGGGAGTTATAGGACGGACTCAGGGAACCAGGAAACCTAGAAATGGTGAGTGTGCGGCCGGGAGCAGACGGGGAGGAGGGGCTGCTCCAGCCGCCCTGGCGGGACGTCTCCGCGGTCAGTCCGGAGTCGGCCGCCTCAAGGCCCCCGGGGGCTCCGCTCACTCCTCAGTCCCTCGGGCTCGCGGTGTGGGGGCTGCACCGCCAGCCGTGACCGGGGCGTCCAGTCCGTCCCTGCGCGCGAGGACTTCGGCCCGGAGCGTGTCTGCGCAGCTCTGCACCCCGTTCCCGCGTCTCCCCAGTCGGTGCGGCGACCACGGGAGGGTCTTTGGGGACAGTCATGACCGTGTCCCCGGGGTGCTTGCAAGGGAGGAGCTGTGGTCTGTGGGGTCCCGGTCCCTCCTTTCTCCCCAGAGGGAACCCGTGTTCTCCTGAGTTTTCTTGTTTGTGGAGCAGGGTCTCCAATCCACCACCTGTCCCCAGGCCTAGCGCTCCGACAGATGCCTGCGTTTGCAGCTCTCCCCCGAATCCCAAACGCCATCTTCCCTTCGGAGTCACTGCATCTCTATTAACTATTTGTTTTTGTGGTGCATTTCAAACTGTTAAAAAACAAAATTCAACTGAGTAAATTGAAGTTTTAATTGGCTTTATTCCCCATTCACGAATCTGGCAGCACCCCGTCGTATACATAGAATCTCAGAGGAGCTGTGCAAAATGGAAGGCGTTTACAGGCAGAAATTCAGTGGGAGTAAGAGATTATTAGCAAAAGAAAATAAAGGATTGTTTCAGGCAAAGTCACATTTTCTTAGGAGAAGGTCCAGCAGGAGTCTTATTAGGCAGATTAGTGTTGATCAGGAATTCCAGAGTGATTGTTTTAAAATTTTATTCCTGGGAGAGGTTGTAACTGCAGTTAAACACAAGCATGCACCCCTGAACCTGGGAAGTATATCCTTAGGCAATTTTGTTGTTTTCAATTCACTTACGATAGTGGACATAAAACGGGTCCGATGGTGCCTCTCGGCACAAAGCCAAAAAGTAGAGGCAAGGTTGACTCTTGCATGAGTGTTTATTAATCACATACCTGGCAACCTGAGAGTAGCAGGTATAGTATTTTGAAAAATTGCTCTGACATTTTATTTTAAATAATTATATAGGGTTATCGGGTGGGAAATAATCCAAAACTAGTGAGTTTCCAGGGTCTGTCTTTTTTTATTGTTCTTGTAAAGATTAGACCTGGAATGCTGTCTTTCTTTAGATAGGTTTTGTCTTTGATCTGGGCTTTGGGCTGCCTTATCTCTAGGGCCTGTTCTCCTTTTTATAACGTTTTTAGTTTCCCAGGGTCTGTAAGAAAATTTTTCCATGATGTCAAAACAGTTTAACACTTTTCAAACAGTTTAACCCGTTCCAGGAACCAGAGAATAGTCAGTATTTACAGAACAATGTGGAATGGTGGTATGGGTTAAAATTCCTATTGTTATATTTTTTACTGTAATTTTAAAAACATTTTTATGGATGTTAGGGCATTATAATTAAATTATTTTAGAAAATTAGAAAAAGTTAGGATTTAATCTAGTTTATAGGTGAAAATGAAATCTTATAGACAAATGAATTAGTTTAATATTTATAATTGTGTATTATAGATTTTATTAAAATATCTTTTAAAAATAATTTTTATTTTTATTAAAGAGTCAAATTAAGACAAACTTATTGTTTTAAGTTTAGTTTTAGTTTGACCTGACTGTATAAATATAGGGATAGTAATTAATTATATGGATTTTTAAAATTTGTTTTACTGGAATTTTCTGTCAGGGTAAAGAAGCCAAGCCCCACATAGTTGTCATTAGGCTTTGTGTAGCATTTATACATTTTGGTAAGTTTTTCAAATTTTTAAGTTTTCTAAAATGTTTTGAGGTGTTTTGTTTTTTTTTTAATTGTTATTTCCCAGAAAAGCAACTTTTGTTCCTTACCTGGAAAGATGGCCATAAACCTTATGAATAAGTAAGATATTAGGCTATTTTTCCTAGGGGCATTTATTGGCTTTAGAGTCCATTTTTATTTTTAAAGTTTTTGCTGACAGAGTCTAGGCATGTCTTTTTATTTATTTTTATTTTTTGCCCATTTTTATTTTTATTTATTTATTTTTCTGAGTATCACCTTTTTATTTTTTTTTCAATTTTTATTAATTTATCTTTGTTACAGATGTTTCTCCTTTTACCCCCTAGACACCCGCCTCCCCAGCCCGCCCCCGCCTCCCCAGCGTTGTTGTCTATGTCCATTAGTTACACATATAAGTTCTTTGGTTTATCTCATCCATCCTCCCCTCCCCCTCCTCTGAGGTTTGTCAGTCTGAACCGTACCCCTTTCTATGTCTTTGGGTCTATTTTTTTTTTTTTTTTTAATTTTTGTTACAGATGTTTCTCCTTTTCTCCCTACTGTTTCCCCCTCCCTCTCCCTCCCTGCCCTGTCCCCAGCTTTGTTATCCATTTCCATTGGTCATGCATACATGCATATAAACTCTATGGTTTATCTCTCCCCCACCACCCCCTCTTCGGGGGATTGTCAGTCTATGCCCCACTTCCACGTCTCTGGGACTACCTCATTCCTCAGACTGTTATGTTCATTATATTCCACAAATAAGTGAGATCATATGATACTTCTCTTTCTCTGTTTGGCTTGTTTCACTTAGGATGATTCCTTCCAGGTCCCTCCATGTAGTCTCAAAGGATAAGAGATCTTTCTTACAGTTGTGTAGTACTCCATTGTGTATATATACCACAGCTTTTTTTATCCATTCGTCTACTGATGGACACTTGGGCTGTTTCCAGAACTTAGCTATTGTAAATAGTGCTGCTGTGAAGATGGGGGTACATATATTCTTTCTGATTGGTGTTTCAGGCTTCTTAGGGTATATTCCTAGAAGTGGGATCACTGGGTCAAATGGAAGTTCAATTTTTTATTTTTTGAGGTAACACCATATTGTTTTCCATAGTGGCTGCACCACTCTGCATTCCCACCAGCACTGTACTAGAGTCCCCTTTTCTTCACACCCTCGCCAACACTTGTTGTTTGATGATTTGTTGATGGCGGCCATTCTGACAGGTGTGAGGTGATACTTCATTGTTGTTTTAATTTGCATCTCTCTGATGATTAGTGATGATGAGCATTTCTTCATTTGTCTCTTAGCCATTTGTATGTCCTGTTTGGAGAGGTGTCTATTTAGTTCCTCTGCCCATTTTTTAATTGGGTTCTTTGTCTTCCTTTTGTTGAGTTGTATGAGCACTCTCTATATATTGGAAATTAACCCCTTATCTGATATATCATTGGCAATGATATTCTCCCATACAGGGGGTAGCCTTTTCGTTTTGATGATTGTATCTTTGTGCAGAAACTTTTGAGTTTGATGTAGTCCCATGTGTTCATTTTCTCCTTTGTTTCTATTGCCTTAGGTGATGTATCAGTGAAAATTCTGCTGCGTATGATGTCTGAAATTTTGTTGCCTACAGTTTCTTCTAGGATTGTTATGGATTCATGAGTCACATTTAAGGCTTTTATGCATTTTGAGTTTATTCTTGTGTAGGGTATAAGTTGATGGTCTAGTTTCATTTTTCTGCATGTAGCTGTCCAATTTTCCCAACACCATTTATTAAAGAGGGTGCCCTTACTCCACTGTATGCTCTTGCCACCTTTGTCAAATATTAATTGAGCATATTGCCTTGGGTCCATTTCTGGGTTCTCTGTTCTGTTCCACTGGTCTATTTGGCTGTTCTTGTGCCAGTACCAGGCTGTTTTGATTACAGTGGCTTTGTAGTATAACCTAAAATCTGATAATGTGATCCCTCCAACTTTGTTCTTCTTTTTCAAGATTGCTATGGCTATTCGAGGTCTTTTTTGGTTCCATATGAACTTTTGAAGTACTTGTTCTAATTCTGTGCAGTATGCCGTTGGTATTTTGATGGGGATTGCATTGAATCTATAGATTGCTTTGGGTGATATGGACATTTTAATGATGTTAATTCTTTTAATCCATGAACAAGGTATGTGCTTCTACTTTTTTATATCTTCCTCTATTTCTTTTTTCAATGACCTGTAGTTTTCTGCAAACAGGTCCTTTATTTCTTTGGTTAAGTTTATTCCTAGGTATCTTAATTTTTTTTGACGCAATGGTAAATGGGATTGTTTTCTTAGTTTCTCTTTCTGTGAGTTCATCATTGGTGTATAAGAATGCCATTGAGCCCTGGCCAGTTTGGTTCAGCGGTTAGAGCATCCGCCTGCGGTCCGGAGAGACCCAGGTTCGGTTCCCGCTAAGGGCATGTACCTCGGTTGCAGTTTGTCCCTGGCCCTGGTTGGTCGTGCGGGTGGCAGCCACTCGATGTGTCCCTTTCACATCGATGTTTCCCTCTCTCTCTCTCTTCCTCTCTCTCCCTCCCACTCTATCTGTGCAAAAAATGGAAAAATGTCCTCGGGTGAGGATTAAAAAAAAAAAAAAAAAAGAATGCCATTGATTTCTTGATGTTAATTTTGTATTCTGCTACTTTGCCAAATTCATCTATTAAGTCTAGTAAATTTTAGATGGAGTCTTTGGGGTTTTCTACGTATAGTATCATGTCATCTGCAAATAATGGCAGTTTCACTTCCTCCTTTCCAATTTGGATCCCTTTTATTTTTTCTTCCTGTCTGATTGCTGTGGCTAAGACTTCCAGTAGTATGTTAAATAAGAGTGGTGAAAGTGGGCATCCTTGCCTTATTCCTGTTCTTAAGGGAAATACTTTTAGTTTTTGCCCATTGAGTATGATGTTGGCTGTAGGTCTTTCATATATGGCCTTTATTATGTCGAGATATGATCCCTCTATTCCCACATTGCTGAACGTTTTTTATCAGAAATGGATGCTGGATTTTGTCAAAGGCTTTTTCGGCATCTATTGATATGATCATGTGGTTTTTATTCTTCATTTTATTTATGTGGTGTGTCACGTTTATTGATTTGCAAATATTGTACCAGCCTTGCATCCCTGGGATGAACCCACTTGGTCATGGTGGATAATTTTTTTT